GTCTTGTGAAAAGGAAATTCAGGTTTATTATTATTTATTTGATAAGCTCATGAGTGGGTATTCAAAGTTGAGAGGTAAGATTCTCAACTTGTTTAGTAAACCAGCCTCAGTATCCTTTTAAATCTGAATTCCAGGCAAACAGCTAAATACATGATAAAATACATATAAGGGGGTTATTCTTCCTATCAAATTATTTGTATTTGTGTCCATACAGTCCTGAGATTTAGACAGCCCTTCCAAGCAGCACAGCTAGCCTCCGTTGCAGTTAGGCAATTAATTTAAGTCACGTCTTCACCCCCAGCCTGTGACTGGACAGCAAAGGAGCAGCAAGAGACTGATGTGGTCATTTCAGTCCTGCTGTCACAAGTGAATGCGGAACAACTGAGTGGATTGACCCTAAGCCTCCCTCTCCCAGTCTGAGTGCTGCTATACAGGGAATACAAGATATACTTTTGTGTATTTATAGAAGTAGCATTTAAGCTACACTTTATGTTTCTTCGAATAAATACATAATCGCATCTTTTGGTGTTTTTTAATGTCTGGCTGAAACTTCAGGCAAAAGGTAACATTATCTGTTGTAACTATATGTATGTAGTAAGGGAGAAATAGTTATCCTTCATGACAACAGGGGAGCCAGTGCCAAAAGGATAGCACAGTGCAAAATGCATTGATAAGCAGTAAGTCATGGTAACAAATCAGGGGGACAGCTGCACGCAGATTTGTTTGGTCAGACCAATGAAAATGGATCCCTGGCTGGTTGTTGTAGGTCACTAAATGGCTTTGCACTATGGAGTATATAAATCCAATAGACTTCTAAGACACAGGCCAGTTACCAGCCAAACTAAAGGCCCCCATAGACAGCTCAGACTTTGGACCATTTGTGCTGAATTGGTCAAAATGTGAGCTCTGGGTTGCTCTAAAAGTCCCACCTGCTCAACCAAAGCTATTTTGAAAATTGACTAAGCCAAGTGGAAAATATTGGTCACCAGCAGTGATCAATGTTTTCTATTGGCAGGAAAGGCTCCTCATCATTAGAACAAAAAAGCACTGCGGGAGGGATTCCCCTATCAACACAGTCAGTGGTGGAAGGATAGAAAATTGCATAATCTCTAAACTGCTTAAGTCTATGATGAGCTTAAAATACAGGTACACCCCTACTGAACCTAATTTGTGTCATCGTTGTATTGTAAATACCAGAGGTAGCCATACCTGGATCAAAATTTGGCCAATTCAACAGGGATGGACCAAATTTCAATCCATGTGTGGGCAGGTTGGTTGTACAAAAGTCAATTTACCCATCAACTTCTGTACAACCAACCTTTTCGGTTTTCCCGAACGATCAGTAACGCCGACTATAACCAGTAGCACTGATCATTGTATTCTGACAGTGGGACAGGCTTCTCACCATCAGAACACAATAGCACAGCTGGAGGGATTCCCCTGTCCACATCGGATGTGTGAATGGGGAATAAGATCATTTTCCTTTCCGTTTAACCTGCTGATTAAATGATGTAGGCCAGCTTTATGGAACATTTCCTCTGGATCATGCAATAAGGCTCATAAGGAATTGAGAATATTCTCTTAAAAAGAGTGAAGATTCACTTTGATTACCCAATCCAATGTGAAAAGCAAATTCCTGTTTATTTTATCTTTACATGATTGGATAAGTAAAATGTGAATCTTCACTCTTTGAATAAGCATTCTCAACTCCTTCAGTAAGTAAGCTTCACTCTCCATTGTGAACATAGCTGTAGTACACCCTGCTGCACATATTTTCCATTAAGACCGTATGTTCTCTTCTCTGCGTAAATTGCACAGTACCTACCTCAACTGTGGTCTTACTAGATGCTAACTGTCCTTAAGTCTGTACTGTTTGTATAGCGTGAGTGCTCTGAATTGTGTCTGGTATCAGTTAGGTATTCTGTTCCTGGGAGCGCTTGGTAATGGTGATCCTGGGTGTGCTTCACTTGTGGTCTGGTAATTTTGCATTAGTGAGTGTGAGCACAAACCAAGCTTGAGCATAGGTCTATCCATGAATCACTGGGCACAGTAGTAGGGATCACTGTGTTCTGGATGGTGTAAGTGTGCCTGGAAACACTTATTTTAAAGCACAGTGTCAGTGCAGACTAGATAGGGAGTGTGGAAAATCATACTCAAGCATGGTTCCGATCAACTGTTTACAGTGTGAGTACACTCTGTAGAAACCCATAGGAAAGCGTCTCCTCATGCAACAAGAACATGACCACAAGAAGTTATTTTTAACTAGACAGGACTGATTAGAATAGTCTAGGCTCAATTCACTAAGCTATAATACATATGTTGTTCACTATGCCAATCACTATTTTCAGCCATGTGACTGATGTGACTGATACTTTTAGCTCTCATTGCTGTAAAAACATAATGAATGTGCCTTATTTATCATTGTGTGTCTTAAGGACTTTTTCTATTGCCCCTTATCAAGTAATATATTAAATCTGTAATTTTTAAACTGAGGGTTTCAATCTCTTAATGGCTGTGGGGCAGTACAGATAGTTCTTTTTGGAGACCGATTGATTTAAAAGAGAGCCATTAGAATGTTGGGTAGTGGTAGGTTAAAGCTATATAGTAAAACTTTACATATAGGCATCAGATTATCATTGTGCAGGTTTGCTAATTCCAACAATATTGGGTTTTATTAATACCTTCATGCTTTATAAGGCACCCACAGCCACTAGGGTTATGTTGAAGATCACTCATCCGGGATTGACGCTTCTTACCAAGAGCCTTTTGTTCACCCAACATAAGAGTGGATAAAGGGTGCACACTCAACACATAGACATGAATACTTTACTAATAACCAGTAACTTTTATAAAATATATATATATGATTCTCCTCTGGGTGTCAAGAAAGAAGACTCCTTGAGTTATCATCACCTCTTAAACTCGGTGTTAGGCATGGCAACCATGAATGAGGATTACTGCTGGGAGATAAGTCACCATCGTACAGCACAATAGAGTCTGGATCCAACTGGGGAGTGAACTTTTATATGACTAGGTGGAGACTTTGAAGGCTGGGAGTTGGAATTGCTTTGACAAGCTGTGTCTTGTGGTTTTATATGAATCTCTGAAATTAAAGTTCAGTAATACATTTCGGCCAGTCTGTTGTCCCCCTGAAATTTCTACTGGTAAGCCTTGGTCATTCACAAGAAGAGGCCACAGAGGTGACGCTGGTAATTTTGGAAGTGTCATCTGACCAAGGCTGGAGGTTCTGCAGGGCAAAGAGGGAAGAGTTGTGAATACAGATGGGGTCTGGCTGGAGCGGTTGGTTTATAGACTTCTGAAATGCTTCTTGTTGAAGTTGCATTAATATCCTGTTTGCTTGTTGTCTCTCCGCCTCCCTCTCTTCTGCTGTCTGTCTTCTAGAGGTGGAACAAGAACAATGTCATTCTCATTGCAAGCATGTCAACTAAAATGGCTTTGCTTCTCCTTTCTAAAGTCTAATAAAAAACCATATCTTGACACATATACAGCTGTCTACAATATTATTGTATCTGATGACCATAAAATGTAAATTGTCCTATGTGAATTTAGGAAAACTGAAGTAGAGGTGAACCAATTACCAGTACAAACTGGCACAGTTTCATTTGGAAACCTTTTCATTGTATTGGTCAGAAATACTTAGTAATTAGGTTTACAGTAACTCTCATGTGATTAAAAGGTGTACAAACCTACTTGAAATGTATTTTCTCTGTTTTGAGGCCAACACTATTCAGCCACAGCAAGCGAATTTACCAATATAATCAAATCATTGTGCTTTTTAAAAAACACAATCATTTGATTATATTGGTAAATTTGCTTGGTGTGGCTAATTAGTGTTGGCCTCAAAACAGAGAAAATTATTTTCAAGTAGGTTTGTACACCTTTTAGTCACATGATAGTTACTGAAAACCTTTTTACTAACTAGTCCTGACCAGTACAGTGAAAAGGTTTCCAAATTAAACTGTGCCAGTTTGTACTGGTAATAGGTTCACCTCTACTTCAGTTTTCCTAAATCAGCCATATATGTAATTAAAGTCTAAGTTTATCTGGGAAAAAAATCAGCACAAGGGACCTTACTTGCTATCATTGTGATGTGTCCCTTGTGCTGCTTTCTCCTGGTTTAGTAGAAATTTTCCTCCTCCTATGCCCCCCTTCCACACCAGAAGATTACAACAGTGGCAGGTAATAAAGCAGAGGGACTTGTGACAGGGACTCATCAAGATTAACTATCCCCATCCTTCCAGCCCACCTCCACCATTCATAGAAGCTGTACTATAGATTCAATCAATCAAACACAATCTATGAATGGAAGATGGGCAGATAAATTAAGGATCCACCTCCTGTATTCATAGATCATGTTTCATTTATAGAAGCTATAGTACGTCTTCTATGAATGGAGGAGGTGGTTAAAAGGGCAGCATAGTCAGCGCTCTTGAATGCCTGTCACAGCTTCCTCAGCTCTATTAACCCCTGTTGTACTGGAACAATATGGTGGTGCGGTTAGTGGGGATTTGAGGAGGAAATTTTCTACTAAACCAGAAGCCGCCATAAGGAACACATCATACTCATCCCTTGTGCTAGTTTTTTTTTGTACTAAACTTAGACTTTAAAGATGAATTCTGGCTGTTACTAATACTGTACATAGAAGACTGTATATAGAATATGAATGTTTAAAATCCCCTATCAGTTTTGCTGCCATTGGTGTCCTTTTTGGGAGATTTCCCTTCATCTTCTGTCCTATAAACACAACAGATACACAGACAAACCACCCTTTCAGAGAGTTGTCACTGGAAAAAAATGTCCCCAATGAAGGCACCCACCTCTACTTCTGTTCTGATGACAAATCAACATTTTTAGATTTCCTTCATGCACAGCCCTGGTGAAAGTGCTTTTATAAAAATACAAATAGAGGAGTGAATCTCAACAGCAGGAATGCAGACAGTAGTAAAAAAAACCTGACAGAAGTTCTGATTCTTCCCCACTCTATACAAAATTTGCAGCTTAGATGAACTTAAAAATAAATGTTGTGTTATAGTAAATGTTCAATTTTGTGTTACACGGAATCAGGGGTGGACTGAAAACTCATGGGGCCCACAGGCAATAGGGGATCATGGGGCCCCTGTGTCCTTGCCCAGACGCAAAAAAGCCTATGAAAAAGGTACCAGGGGCATCTATTGGGGCCCCCTACTGACCCCGGGCCCTCGGGCAGTGCCTGAGTTTCCAAATAATCAGTCCGCCCCTGCACAGAATACTACAATTTATAATAAAAGTTCTGTTTTAACATAGTAAGAGATAGAGCAAAATAAATACAGTGAAACTGTCTCAGGCTCCATGCACACACAGGGCTTAAAAAAACCACCAGTTCCCTTGGCCAAAAAAAATGCTGATATAGATAATTTTTGTATACAGTTTATGTGAGTTTAGGAGCGTTTAGCATTTTTTTCTTCCAGAAAGCCCTATCAAAAATGCAACCAGAAGGGTTTTTGTTTTTTTTTTTAACCCCAGTGTGCATGCAGCCTTAGACTCCATACACACTATTGTTTTTTAAGCTCCTAGAAGCTGTTATTAGTATTCTTTTTTTTCTGCTCCTAGAAGCTAAATAGTGTTATCCTATGTGTCCAGGCATACTACTTTAGGCTATTAGCGTTTATTGAGCTTCAGCGTCTAGGAGCAGAAAAAATTTTTTTGTAGAGATTTTTGGATTGTTTTTCCAGCAGAAAAAAATGCTAAAACGCTCCTAAATGTTCCTAACAGTTTTTTCTTCTACATGTACTGTAAAAATACTAATAAAATGCTAACACTCCTAAACGCTACTGAAAAAACATTATTGCCAGCTTTTTTTTTTTCCCAGCGTTCTTTGAGCTTAAAAAAAAAATGCTAGTGTGCATGGAGCCTAAATATTGAGCTTAAAATATGCCTCTAATCGTCCTAATGTGCATGGACCCATAGGATAACACTGAGCTGCTTCTACAGATAAAACACTAATAAAATGCTAACACTCCTAAACGCTACTGAAAAAACGTTATTGCCAGCATTTTTTCCCCAGCGTTCTTTGAGCTTAAAAAAAAAATGCTAGTGTGCATGGAGCCTAAATATTGAGCTTAAAATATGCCTCTAATCGTCCTAATGTGCATGGACCCATAGGATAACACTGAGCTGCTTCTACAGATAAAACACAATACTACTGTAGAAGCAGCAGTTTTTAATCCAGTGTGCATGGAGCCTCAAAGTTCTCCACAGCAAAAAAGAAAAGGAAATAAGAGACCTGTTTCATTATTTTTTTGTATCATTGGGACATTATTTGCCTTTTTAGGCCAATAATGCTTTGTATTGCATAAAAAACAAACCAAGTACATTTAATTGTATACATTGGCAACAAGTGTGTAAAGATAAAAGCTGTAGAATTCTGCTACACTTTGGGGGTTATTTACTAAAACTGCCTGGTGCTGCCCTGCATAGAAACCAATCAGCTTTCAGGTTTTATTGTCAAAGCTTAATTGCACTAGCTGAAGTTAGAAGCTGATTGGCTGCCATGCAAAGCTGCACTAGATTCAGAGTGCTCCTGTTTTAGTAAATCGCCCCCACCCCCCAGTACACCTACAATGTAAATAGGACTAGCCCTTGATTAAAAGACTTTCAGTGTAGATAAGAATAAAAATACATTTACTGAGCACACATGAATACACATACAGCCTACAACTTATACCTGTATAAAGGAATAGGAATACAGCCTGCAATGTACACCAAGGGTGCACATAAGATTTCTACAGTCTGCAATATACACCTAGAATGTATATAGGTATACAACTACAGTCTGAACAGTACATCTTCATGTACATAATAATGCACATATAGTCTACCACATACACCTAGAGTGTATATAACAATACAACTACAGTCTGCAATATACACATGTGCACATAAGAATACTACAGTATACACCTAGAGTGTGCATACAAATACAACAGTTTGCAATACATACACCTGGATTGTACAACATAAGTATACCACTACAATCTGAACAGGAGATCTGCAATGTACATAGGAATTCACACACAGCCTACAACATACACCTGCAGTGTACATAAGAATACAACTACATTGTGCAATATAGATCTACAATGTGCTTAGGAATACAAATTCATTCTGAAATGTAAGCCTGTAATTATACAACTACAGTCTGCAACATTCCCCTGAATTGTACACAAAGTACATCTACCGTGTGTAATGTACTTTTGATGTCTATGTAAGTACACAACTACAACTTGGACAATATGCTAGTGTACATAAAAATACAACTACAGCCTGGACAGTATGCTATGGTACAACAAATACAACTACAGCCTGGACAGTATGCTAGGGTACAAAAAAATACAACTACAGCCTGGACAGTATGCCAGGGTACAAAAAAATACAACTACAGCCTGGGCAGTATGCAAGGGTACAAAAAAATACAACTGCAGCCTGGGCAGTATGCTAGGGTACAAGAAAATATAACTACAGCCTGGATAATTCATACACCATATTTTTTTTTTTAATAAAACCACATTCCTCTGTACAGCTACAATGTACATAAGAATACAATCACAGTCAATAATTACTAAAAACAATACAGTTGCAAAGCTCCCATAGTGCTTTTAGGTAATACAGCCACAGGGCGTATATGAATGTAGCTTCCATATCAGCTACACTGTGTACAGCAGAAGCATGCATATAAATACAGCCACAAAGAGTACAATGCAGGTTAGGAATTCAGCCTCTGCACGCTGTACAGAGTGAAAGGAAATACATAGAAGGGTTTAAACTGCTCCAGTGTGTACTTTTAGCTAATTTATAGCTACACAATGTCCTCTAGGAAGTAAACCACTGTTTGTACAGTATGGAACCACAGTCTGCACACTAGTATGTGTAATATTTTTATTATAATATATTGGAATGTAGTGCAACAAAGAACATATGATTACAGTGACAATCTTTACAACACAACTCTATTGTGTATAGACATGTGTACAGTACAATGTGTGCCAGAATACAGGTACAGCATGTACAACAGCAGCCACAATGTGCACTGGAATACAGGCCTGACAGTGGCAGGAATGCAGATACTGAATGTACAATATAACTGATCTGTGTGTCGAATATACATGCAATGAGTTTCCTTTATTAAAGGAGCAGACTCTATTCACTGAGCAGTCTGAATGTTCACTGAGCTTAGTAACTAAGGTGAGGCTGTAATAACCTACTCATCTAATTAGGTACAAAACATTTTTAATTTCCCTTGCACGTAATTGGGTATTCATAGTGAGCACAGCCTCACTAAGCTCAGTCAATATACGTGTTTTAAAGTGGCTAGTCACTTGGTAAAGTGGACATTCATTTAAGTGAACAGTCTCTACATCTTAAATAAATCAACTCCATTGTGTGCAGAGCAGCTATTGTGTGTGCAGGAATGCCTCCACAGTTATAAGTACCACTGTAGGATGTGTAGGAATACAGCAAAAGTGAGTTTAAAATAGATACAGAGTTTGATTTACTAAAGGCAAATAGGCTGCTAACTTTGGAAGGGGCCTTTCCCCAGAGCTTAGTGAATCGGGTGAATTTCACTTGGCAAAACAATACCCTATCATGAGCAAAGGAAAAAAAAATGTATTTTTTTTTTCACATAATTGGATATCAGAAGACAGCAGAGCTTCACCTCATTCCCTAAACTCTGGGGAAAATTCCCTTTTCAGAGTTAAAGGCCTATTTACCTTTAGTAAATCAAACCCAAGTTGTATATACAGTATTATTACAGTTACAGTGTGTAAACGTACACAACAATAAAGGCTAGTTTACTAAAAGATTTTTAAAATGTTTAACTCTGCATGATTGGATAACTGGTGTAAAGTCACACAATATACAGCGTATATAGTAATAAAGCTGCAGTGTGTTCAGTACAGCTACAGTGTGTACAGGAATACAACGATAGTGTGTGTATCAGTACATATTAGTGCACATGGAGACACAGCTATAAGTGTGTTCACTACAGGTACACTGTGTATTGAATTAGTGTGTTCAGTACAGCTACAGTGTGTACAGGAATACAAGGATAGTGTGCATGGAGACACAGCTATAAGTGTGTTCAGTACAGCTACAGTGTGTACAGGAAAACAAGGATAGTGTGCATGGAGACAGAGCTATAAGTGTGTTCACTACAAGCATACTGTGTATTGGGATGTAGTTATAGTGTGTGTCAATATAGGTACAGTGAATATTAGAATACTGTGTACTCAATACAATAGTATGTTCAGTAAAGGTACAATGTGTATTGAAATATATAACTACAGTATGTTCAGTACAGGTACAATGCATGTTGATTTTTACAGTTACGGCGTGTGTCAGTACAGTACAATGTGTATTGAAATATACAATTATAGTGCTTGTCAGCACAGGTACAATGTGTGTTGGAATACAGTCATAGTACATGCAGATCTACAGTCAGGGTATGTATCACTGGGTGCTCTACAGCTGTAATTTGTATAGCAATGCAACTGTAGTGTGCATGTAAATACTAATATATCATTTATGTGTACAATGCAGCTCCAGAATGTATAAGAATACATCCACAATGTGTACAGTGAAGCTCCTACACAGACAAGAATACCAGCTCTATCCCCAATGCAGAATGATGCTTCTCTGTATAATAAATGAGAAGGAACAAGGCTGTCTCTCTGCAGACATGACATGTCATATCCCAGCTGACATCGATTTTATGCCAGAGTTGGGCTCAGCTAAATGTACCTACAAGGAAGGCAATGAGTGAGGATCATGTAGGGTACAGGGGAGATTGGCCATTGCTGCTCTGCTTTCCTTACCCCAGACACCTGGAGTATGCACCGCCACTGCCTTCTCCTGCACTCAGAAATCCGATTCACTGGCTGCACTTAGAATTATAGGTAGTCACACTAGAAACTTTGCGTATGGGGGACGATTTACTGAACGTTTATTAGAGCAGAAAACTCATGGGTTTTCCAAATCTGATAAGAAGGGGATGGAGGGAGACTTGTTTTCTAAATTAAGGGGTTTTGTAAATAAATTAACTAATCAGCCAATAGCGACTCACTTAAGAGAATTAGAAATTGTTAATTAGAGAATTATATTTTTATGTATGTACACAAATCTAATCATAATTATATATATACATTTATATTAATAGAATTTTTATATTAGTTAATGTTAAAACCAAATACTAGATGGGGATAAAT